CAGTGGTTGTGTCTGTGATTCTGTGACTCAGCGGAGGTCCCTGACGCGACGCGCCCGCCCCGCGGCGGCCATGGCGGCCGGGGCTGGGTCTCCATGGCAACGCGCAAAGCCTCGGCGCGCGCGTCCCGCGCTCCCCTCCCGCGGCCGCGCGCGCTCGCTCTCGCGAGCCTGGCCGTGGCGGCGGCGAGGCCGAGGCGCTCGGGGCCCGTTTCAAAACCGGCGGTCGCCGGGGCCGCGGCCCCGGGCACGAGATGGCGGAGAGCGACCAGGGTCCGAGCGGCCGCGCCGCGCAGGGCGAGGAGGCGGCCGGGCAGCAGCCCCGCAGCCGAGCAGCAACAGCCGCCGCCACACAGCAGCCGCGCAACAGCCGCCGCAGGATCGAGGAGGCGGCGGCGGCCGCGGCGGACCCGGGAAGCGGCGCGGGCAGCGCTAATCGGTGGGGGAGGGGGGGCGTCACAACATGTGTGTCGGAGGAGCAGCGCGGGGCAGGGCCGGGCGGCGGCGGGGCAGCGGCGGGCGGGGGGAGGCAGCCGGACCCCCCGTGGCTCCGGGCTCCTTCCCGCGGGCTGGGGCACTCGCCGGGGCTACACAGGCACAGAGACACACGGCCGGGAGCGCGGGCGAGGCCGCGGGCTGGGCACGGGCACGGGGGGGGGGCGGCGCCGGGCCAGCGGCGCGGGGCTGGCCTTCGTGGGGCCTCACCGGCGGGCAGGGCTGGCTGGGACACCATTGACACGTTCCAGGGGTGTCCGCGTCGTTTCTGGTGCCGGTCACGTTTCCACTTGTGGCCGGGGCGGTGTGTTCTGTGGAGCCCTTGAACTACTCTTTGTTTACGTGAGGGTGGTAAGGCAGCCCTGTAGTGATTTATTTTCTAGAAACAAAAACCACACTTGCGTGCACGAAGTTTGCTTGTAAATTGTAACATTTTTATACATGGAGTATGCAGATCCTTGTCTAAAAGGAACATAGTATAAGGGAGCTGGAACTACCAGCTCTCTAGAACAATACGATGAATAACTTTTTTTGTGAGCGGTTGCTCTTGATGTTAGGCTTTGAGGGTTGTCACTCTTTACATGAACTAGGTTTTGGCCTCAGATCGTTGGAATTTCCATATCTCGTTTAATCTCATTCAAACCTTGGAGGGAAAATGGATTTGTAGTAGACTTACTGTTGCAGTACATCAAAGCTGTTGAGGTCTGTTAAGTTTTGACATGTTCCAAGCAGCCCAGCTCTGATACTGTTGTGTTTAAAAAATGCATGAGGGACCAACTTCAATATCAAGCTGGAGGAATAAAGGCATATTTCATGCCTTTACTTGACGCCCTGTGAAATTTAGTTTAGTTTACAAGTTATAAATTTCACATTACTATAAAACAAAAGTTGTGGTTTTGCTTTTTTCCCTCCTGAGTCTGGCCCTCAGCTTCCAAACTACACAGATTAGAACTGAATTTCCACAGGAAGATTGTCACCCTTTTGCTCCTTTTAGGTGTATAAATTTTTATTGCTCTTTTGGGGTTGCTGCTGTTGAAGTAATGACTTAATTTCTCTGTATAGCTCCTGTCAGCAATGTCTTCGTTTCCCTCCAAAACCTCACAAGCAAATGAAAAATCCCAGTCATTCCATGTAGTAGAAATCACAACTTGAAGTGTGAAAGTAATGCAGAGTTCTTAGTGACAGAGATACAAATCTTGTTCTTTCGAATACAGTTTCTAGTCTTCCCCAAAACATGTAGGAAGGATGAAGGTGTCAGTGGGCAGGTGAAATGTATTACTTAAAAAAATAAATCAGTAACCTGGTTTGATTAGCACTCATTAAATTGGAAAGGAATCCTGGTCTCAACATGCACACTTCCATAAATTTATTGTACTGAGCAGTGGGAATTGTTCCACACAACAAAGCTGTGCTTTGGAATCACATGTTTTGAACTTCTTGCATTTCTATCTCGACTGATCTTACTGTGGACACCTGTGAGCAGAGAAGTAGAAATTTGGTTTTAAAAGATCAGCTTTTAGGGCTTTCATGTTGGTGTATCTTGTGGTTATTATGTTTTAGGCTGCTAGTTTTGTTTATGGAAACCTTGTCTTTTGTTTCCAAAACTTTATGGAAAGTTCAAAAGCTTTGGGTTTTTTTTCCAAAGGTGTAATTGCTCTTGCTAATCAATGAGGACATGCTTTTTTTTTCTTTTAAAGAAATAATTGTAGGGGTTTTTTTCCAATACTGGAAATTTGCTCATGATTACAAAGGCAAATGTTAATTAAATCTATAAAATGTGTAGCTCATACAAAAGGTGAAGACTAGAAATTACTATTGTTTTTCCCTCAAGAAAATGTCAAGTCATAGATTCTGAGGCTGTCTTTTCTGTGGTCTGTAGGTGACTAATGTGACATTACTTTGAATGTATTATTTGATTGAAATTATTTTTAATATTCAAGGAGGAGGGTAAGAACTATAAAAGGATCTCTGCGTCCAGCTTGTTCACTGGCCTGTGTGGATCTTGGCAGATGAGTTTTGCAAGAAGAATCGTTTCTTTAATTAATCCTCTATTTTCAGGAGACTGGCTGTGATCCCCAGACTAAGTGAAGTGTCATCTTGTTTCCCAGATTTTGGAGTTTGTGCCAGACTTGTATCCTCTTTGCTCTCTACTGATTTGTACAGCCAGGTCTTGCAGAGCCTGTGGATTCCCTGTGTGGAGACCTGTCTGTTCCTGGGCACTGCACTGAGCACCAAGGGGCTGTTTCATAATCCTGTAAGCAGGAAAGAGCTTAAAGGGCTAAAGAGAATCCATTGCTCTAATCCTAAAACTTAAGGAAGAACTTGGATTTTTGCTAGGAGCTTCATTGGACAGGAGTTTTGCATTTGCAAATGGAACTGGATTGGAAGGAACTGCTCTGACTGGAAAACCTGACACTCTACTCTTTCCCTCTCCTCTCCCTCTGGCTCTCTCCAGTTCCTGCATTGTTCCCTCCATTTCACTTCATTACCCAGCCACACAAGAATTATGTTGTCACAGGGGCAGGATGGTGTGGAGGAGGGATGATGCAGAGGGAAACTGGAGGATGCTTCAGCCAGATAACATGTCATTGACTTGAAACGTTTTAAATGTTACAAATACTTGGCCCAGAGGAGTGTCCAGGCATTTCCCAGTTGCTAATCTTCCTCTTAATCCACTGGTAAACACAAGGACTGTGAAGTTCATATCGTATGAGTATTTCAGAATTGGGGAAAAAGTCGTGGGAGGAATATGGATGTGTTTGAATTTCTTCCTCCCTGGAATGTGGCCAAGCTTGAGTAGATAATACATGAAAGGCTGGCTACTTGTATGTGCTTTTGAGTGCAAGATTTCCACTTATTGTTTGGTTAACTTTGCAGAGAGCTGAAAATACTCAGCTAATCCAAAATCAGTGATCTTACCATATGTTGTGGTTGTAAAACTGAAATGCTTGTTTTGGCTAATTTTCTACCAGCAACCTTCCAAAGTATCAAAATGAGATAAAAACTAAGCCTTCTGAAATGTGGGAAATAAAGTAAAGGCAGTGATGTAATATAAGGAGGGTTCACAATCAGTTACTTCTGTCAGTTCTGTAGGACATCACCTTCTAATTGTTCCAGCTCGAGTGGATAATGCTAGCTTCTTAAATAAATGTTTGTGTAAAAGTACTTTTTAAGCTTCTCTTAGTTAACTAAGTAGACAGTGATGTGGGTCTCTAAGTTTAGTGGGTCACATTTGTGTGGCTTTAATGAGTGGATCTTTTAGTGCAGCAGTTCTCCTAATTTAAAGTAACAATTCAGGCACCTTGAGCCTCTGGTAGCAGATTAAATCAGCTCGGGATAGTAACAATGTCAAGAGTGCCAAAGAGTTCTGATATTTAATCCAATTCTGGTCAAAGTGTATTGTTTCATTGAACTTGAGATTTGGGCTACTTTAAAAGAGAAGCAGCAAATTTTCTACTAAAAAATTTTAAAAGGGGAGCAGCTACTGTTGGTAAACTTTTGAAAGACCAAGGCCAGAAGTCTATTTTGTTGTTTCTGGTGGATAATATCTGGTAACTTAATTAGTCTTAGGTGCATATCATGTCTTAATACAGCTATTCCCCATGCATTTAGCAAGTTTTCAAATTCTAGTAGTGCTAAGCAGTGAGACTGAAAAAGTAATTGTTCTTAGTTGAATTTTAATTTCTGTCTAAAATCAATCTGGCACAAATTGTGAATAAAAATTCTTTATGTGGTAGATAAAATACAATTTGATTTACAAATTGAGTTGATTTTGATATATTATTATTACATTGAATAAAGCATACTGAGCTGCTTTGTAACTTAGACCGTTTCAGCTCTCACTTTTGGGGTGAATATTGTGTAACTTGGCTAAATGTGATGTGAAGATGGTGGGAGCACCAAAGCATGGGTGCTAAGAGCTGATTTTTCAACTGAGTCATTCTGTTTTGGTATTTGTAGTAGTCTATAGTACCGTGTTTGTGAATCTTGACAGACATGATGTGCTGGAACAGGTTGTCCAGAGAAGTTGTGGATGCCCCATCCCTGAAGTGTTCAAGGTTGGATGGGGCTCTGAGCAGTGAGAGATGTCCCTGCCCATGGCAGGGAACGAGATGATCTTTAAAGTGCCTTCCAACCCAAACCAGTCACAGATTCTTTGATTCCGTGAAATGGAATGTAACTGAAATAGCAAGATGTACTTTCTTTACTTGATATTGTAATGTTATTATTTTTGTTCTAGATAAAACCATGTATTTTGGAATTACAGTTGTAATGTGAATTTATTTTTCTTAACTTGAAAAGCAACATTTAACATCCTGGAAGTTATAATAGCATAGGAGATAGGCAGCTACATAGATAAATATGGATATATAGAGATAGGTAGATACACACACACACACATATATATGTATATACACATATATATATAGGAGCTATGATGGTCTAATGATCCAATACAAGACTAATAGTGTTTTTGTTTGGATTTTTTGTTTGTTTTTTTTTAAATGTAGGGAAAATGATGAGACAGCAAAAGAGGGGAAAGCACCTGTGAAAGAGAAGTACGTTGCAAAAGCGAAGGCAATCCCTTCTCTTGGAAACAAGAATAGATTCCAGCCCTATTCCAAGGAGAAGAATGCAGGCTCTGGAGACAAGAAGGCTGTTAATCGTAATAGAGTTTTTATTAGCAACATCCCGTATGACATGAAATGGCAAGCTATTAAAGATCTTATGAGAGAGAAAGGTAACTTATTCCTTATAATACACTTCACACAGAAAGGGATAGGACTCAAATGCAGTGTATGTGTCCTTTGAGCCACACAGATTTGATTTGCCTTTTTTTGTTTTGGCCTTTACTTGGTACATCTATCTCCCTTCCCCCTCTTTCATCCGAGACAATTGCATTGCAGGGTAGGATGGGTAAATGAAGTGCTCAAACCTTCTGCCATTCTGGTGTGACAGTAGAGAGTATATGCATGACCTCATGACTTCCTAAAGAGATTGTGTTTCGTCTCTAGTTGTAGTTTCTGTAGTTTTTCTTTTTTTCTTCGAGGGCTATTGTATTTAAGCAACACATTAAGTGTGTTAACATGAATAATAAGGGATGTTTTTCAAAAGTTGTTTTGTATTTCTTTGGTGGAATCTGGCTGTGGCATTAACTTTGTCTGCATTGTCACTGCTGCCATGACTGTTTGTCTGGAGATTTGTATTAAAAGCTTGTTACTATTGTTGCAGTTCTGATAGAGAAATCTTACTGCCCCCAAAATTTTGTTTTAAGTTTGGGGTAAAATAATGATAATATACGGATTTTGTAAAAAGTTAGTTCTGTGTTTTCCTTGAAAAATTGATTCTTCAAAAGTAATGCAAAGCACACTTGGCTTTTAGGCTGTGAAAAATGCCAGTACCCCTTCTGTAACTGCTGGTTTATCTGTTGTAAGGTGACGTGACTATTTGATTGGTTTATTCACTGAAACTTCCTACTTTAGAAAGTGAGTCGCTTGCTGTGAAATATTTGATGTGTAAATTTGGTTATTATTGAAGGCAAACTTATGATTGAAGATATTCAGGTAGAAAGTCACCTTAAAACAGGTGTTGTGAGTAGGATGATAAATGTAACACTTTCCAGTGAACGTTGACGTTTCATTTGTTAGGTTAAGGGACTCTATATCTGAATTTGTTCACCAACTATATCATACTGGCCAAAATATGATCTGTAGTATGAATTAGGTTAAATATAGTTGTTTGTTTTTAGCTTTTGAGAATGTGGCTGCTGCATATTTCTGAAAATTAGCTAAATTACATAGCCATTGACAGGAGGTATGTTGGTCTGGTTTTGATTGTTGGTGAATAATAGGTGATTCTCTGTAGACTTGTGCACAGGGGCACAGTAAAGAAAGATACTGGTGTTTAAATGCATTGTCTCTTGGTATTTTCCCTTTGTATGTCTTATGTAGTTGGTGAGGTTACATACGTGGAGCTGTTTAAGGATGCTGAAGGAAAATCAAGGGTAAGTGCCGTGGGCAACAATCTGCTAGAGGTTTAAAAGTTCCTCAGCAGTTTTATTTTTGTATAATACCTGTACCAGTTATTGGAAAGTAAGTTTCATTTTTACACTGATTTTCATTAAGGTAGCCTTGAGGATTCTGTATTAGAAGTAGTCTGACACTTTCATGCAACTCACACTAGCTGGCTGTAAAGGACAAAGTACTTCTGTAAATGTTAACAAATGGCATTTACTTAATTCTTTTTAGCCAACACCTTTGTTTTGGTACAAATTGTTTCATATAAAGGACGTTCAACAAACCACTAATTTTATTTAAATTTTGTTAGTGTAGTATTCTCGGGGCCAATGAGTATAAAATGTTAGCTAAGAATATACTGTGTGAAGTGCCTGATTTGACAGCTCTGCAGGGTTGGTACTTTAAACACTGGATTAATGTATTTGCTTTCCTAAAACTAAATGGATGGAGATGGTTGGTAGCCAGCAGAGTGCCTGCAATGAGGCACTAGGAGTGAAGATTGTTAAAGCTCCTCTGTCTTCTTAAAAATAGTCAAAAGTTGGGCCGATAGCAGCTCTGAACCTGCAGTGAGAACATGAGAAATGCAGGTTTGAGTCTTAGCTGAGGTTGTATCAATTGTTGTAAATTACTTCTTTAATACTTGTTAAAACTAAAACATGCTGTCAGCTTTGCTATACTTAAAGCAATCCTCTACTCTTTGCTTTATTAGAAGGATTCTGGTGCAGTCAATCAGGTTATTTTCTTACAAGGTAATTTCTCAATTCTGCTGTTATACTGAAGAGGTTTGCAGACTCCCTGTTCATTGTACTGGTATACTCGATATAGGTAGATTTGAATTCTTTAGTCAGTGGGCAGCTTTTAATGACATGATGAGTGTCTTGATTGGTTTTTGGTTATGTTTTGGGGTTATTTTCTTTCCTCCCTTTCCCTCCCACCTCCTCTCCCCAATTGTCCTTACATGGATCTGTGTGGCATTTTTCCAATTCTGGTTTGACTCTAAGAGAGTAAGAGACAATGTGTTCTCTTGCATTTGAAAGGTATGTATATTGAGAAAGCAGGAGAAATTCAGATTGGCTACCACTAAAGAACACGTATTATGGATTTTGAAGCTGAAAATAACTTGTATAGTTATTTAACAGTGAGCTGGGATCTTTAACTGGAATCTTCATTGCTCTGCTATATGTGCTGACTGACTTCTTGTTTGCTTGTTTTCTCTTTACATATGATGACAAATCTCATGGATGTAGGGTTGTGGGTAAGTTTCTTTTTCTAAGTGTGTAGAAACACACTGATATTCAAACATTCTATTTGTTTTGGCATTTTGGACTTTATTTTAATACTCTAAATGTTTTGTTCTCTCTAAGTGTGGTTGAATTCAAAGATGAAGAATTTGTTAAGAAAGCATTAGACACTATGAACAAATATGATCTTAGTGGAAGACCCCTGAATATTAAAGAGGTATGGTTATTGCTGCTGTTTTGAATTTGAAATAGTGAAGGTATTGTAGTTACTGAGATGACAATACAGTGTTTTGACAGTTTTAGATGTGTAATTTCCAGTTTAAGTTTTTATGAAATTTTCTTAATTGACTAAAGTGCCTGTTGGCTTGCAGAAGCTATCCCAAGTGAACTGGCAAAAATCCTAAAGTCAAAATAATCTAATGCTGTTTTTCTTTGAAACAACTTTAACTTCATATTCTTACCTTAGTGTCATCAGGTCTTTTCCAGCCTAAATAATTCTATGTTTACATTTCTTACCTGCCTCAAAATATGGCACAGAAGGAGCTAATTGTCAGACTACTACATATGTGCAACAAGGGGGCTGGAAGTAGAGAAGTTGTGCTGCCTGGAAAGTGAAATAATCCCAACATTTCTGTTGTATTGTACTATATCACAGTATCTGATGCAGTTCTTCTTATCCTATTACAACTTTAATAGTGGTATTAATAAATAATACAAATCCACCACCTAATTAAATTAATTCAGTTCCTGGAGGAAGGTGCCAGACTGACAGTCCTTTAGCTTGAAATCTTCTCTACTTGTCCCTAGGGTAGGTGCAGCATGTGAAGTGGCAGTGCACACTTCCTCAGCATGTGCTTTGCCAATATGGCTCAACCCTCATCTAAAAGGACCCACCTCTAGAGGTGAGGGAATTAGGTCTCCATGCTAATTCAGTCTTTGATCCCTCTGACGTGGACAAGGATATCAGCTGATAATTTTGATGGGTTTATGTAGAATTTCAACAGTACTTTTTGTTCGTTGCCAGTCCTGTTGTTGGTCATTAAGTGGCTTTATTTTGCCCATGTTTCAGGATCCTGAAGGAGAACATGCTCGTAGGGCATTACAGCGTGGGGGAGGACAGTTTCCAGGAGGACATGGACCTGATGCAGCACCTGGAATAATGAATTTACCACCTTCTATTCTCAATAATCCAAACATTCCTCCTGAAGTTATCAGTAACTTGCAGGCAGGCAGGCTTGGGTCCACTATTTTTGTTGCTAATGTAAGTTTAAAACTGCATTTTATAACTTTAATACTTGATCTTTGTAAGACGTCTTATACCTGCGTAGTTCAGTTTTATATATTAAAGAGGAAGTTGGAAATTAGTTCACAATTACTATATTCAACTGAAAAGGTTGTATATATTCATATTTTGGACATGGAAAGATACATTAAACTTTTGAGGCTGGCATGCACTTATAATTATTGCATAGTTATTTGTTGATTAAAAAATATTTTATACATCTTTTTGCTATTTACAACTGCATTTTTTTTAATTAAATATACACTTCAGTTTATCTGCTAGTTACTTTGGACTAACTTAATGAAGTTCCAATAAATATAACAATGTAAGTTCTTTACCTGCACAAGAAACAACTGTATCTGCAGGAGGGCTTGGGGAAGTACAGCTGCTCTTCTCAAGATCGAATCCATTCCTCAACGTTAGTATGTTAATGAAAGTAAAATACATGTACATAGAATAAATTGTTGCTTTTAGACTTTGATGTAGTGTGTGTATATTACAAAATCATGGCTATTTACATTCATCAAGCATTTTGTGAAGCTGAAGAGTTAACAGCAATGCAGGAAATCTCTTCAAATGTAATGGCAGAACAGAGATGTGCACTGAACTCACTGATGTATTTCTGTGTGTCAGCTTGACTTTAAAGTTGGCTGGAAGAAGCTGAAGGAGGTGTTCAGCATTGCTGGAACTGTGAAGCGTGCCGACATCAAAGAAGATAAAGATGGCAAGAGTCGAGGGATGGGAACAGTTACCTTTGAACAAGCAATTGAAGCTGTTCAAGCAATATGTATCCTTGGGTTTGGAAAACAATTGATCAAATATGGATTAGTCTTTAATGGCTTCTGATGGCATAGTTTTGCAAATGGTGCTTATTTGCCTTGTAGCTTGTGTATAGGGGGTAGAGTGTGATAGTGTACAGATTACATTTGTAAAAGTGACTAAGTTTACTGCTAAAGTCTAAAAGTTCCTGGTGGTGTTGAACTAAATTAAAATATCTAAGAGTATGACAGTTGTTAAACTGACTTCCATGTACCTAACAGCTTGTATTGCATCTGCTGGCATTCTAAGGATCAGGTAAGGAAAGATAAGCGTCCTAATTATTCTACAGAAATAAAATAAGTTATTACATTAATTCTTCTTAAATAGTAAAATTACTTTCTGTAGACTCCTTGACTTGCATTTTTTCAGCGATGTTCAATGGACAATTCCTGTTTGATAGACCCATGCATGTAAAAATGGTGAGTTGCTTACATTTCTTGCTACCTTATAATGTCTCTGCCAAAACATTGAAAGGATCGTGGCATGACATCCTTGATTTTTAACAGGATGACAAATCAGTTCCTCACGAAGATTTCCGTGTTGCGGACAGCAAAGGCTCACAGTTACCTCGTGAGTGCACACTCTGTTTTCTACTGCTTGCACTTAATATGTGATGATACATGTTTGGGCACAATTTAGTGCCTTTTTTGGCATAGTTTAATAGTACTTTTGCTTGCTGTGGTCTCTGTATTGTACAGAAGAAAATCTCTCTTCTGATGATACTTATTTTGTTGTTTTCAAGGTGGTCTTGGTGGCATTGGTATGGGACTTGGACCAGGTGGACAACCCATCAGTGCAACACAGTTGAGCATGGGCGGTGGAATGGGGAGCATGGGTCCAGGAGGTAAATCCACATTCTTAATTTTTAAGTTGTACAGTTTAAAATTGTCACTTCTGTGTTTGGAAGAATGACAGACTTTTGATTAAGGAAGCCTTGTATAGTGTGATTTAGAGATTTTAACTATCTGTGAGTGTTTAAAAATCCATGAGGATCTTGCCTGTCTTCTAAATGTTGTTTGTCTTTTTGGTTTAAAGGTATGGGAATAGACGGTCCAGGATTTGGTGGAATGAGTAGAATGGGAGGCGGTACGTGCAGTGAAGTTTTTTGCTTTAAGTGTTTCTTTAATACTGTATAGAAAACACTCGTCCTTATTTTACAGGACTTGCTGGATTTCGTGGAATGGAAGGAATGCCCAATATGGGAGGATTTGGAGTCAACCGAATGGGAGGTAGTTGAACACCGTTCCTGTACACTTACTAGTTTGCTAATATTTATTTATTAAAAGCTCTTCCTTTAGGGATGGGTAATATAGATGAGTCCAGAGGAAACAGTTGCCTGAGTGGAGGCCTAGTAACTGGCGTGAGAGTTAAACATTTAATGGGTGCCTCTGACTTGTGCATTAGACCCACGTCTATTTAAACAAGCAGCTGTGAAACAAGTATTGTCGGAGCATAAACTTCGATGTTAATAACAGAATATTCCTGGTTTTTTGCCTTGTTCTCTATAGAAATGTTCCGTGGTGGAATGGGAGCAAACATGGAAAGGGAATTTGGTCGTGGTGAGATGGCACTGAACCGTGGTTTTGGAGAGTCTTTTGGAAGGATGGGTATGGTAACTGTTAAATTTTCTGTGGAAAATTGCATCCAGAGGAGGGCTGTGAGGATGGTGAAGGGTCTGGAGGGAAAACTGTAGGAGGAGCAGCTGAGATCACTTGATCTGTTCAGCTGGAGGAGACTGAGGGGAGACCTTGTCACAGTTATAGTTTCCTCGTGAGGGGAAGAGGAGGTGCAGGCCCTGATCTCTTCTCTGTGGTGACCAGTGACAGGACCCGAGGGAACAGCCTGAAGCTGTGTCAGGGGAGGTTTAGGTTGGATATTAGGGAAAAGTTTTTCACCCAGAATGTGGTCAGGCACTGGAACAGGCTCCCCAGAGCCTGTTTGCAAATGCATGGTGGAACATTGTTTTTACTGCAAATCACGTAGCATTGGATAGGAATGGTGAATTTAGTGCCCTCAGTTTTCTTCCTGCCTTCTGAGCTCATGCAGCTCAGGATGGTATTTCTTTGCCTCTTCTGAGGCAGCTTTGTTTTGTTTATAGATGATGTCTTGCTGACAGTGGGGTTCCCTCAAAGGAGTTACTCTTCTATCTTCAGAGGCCTGGAAGTGCTTAACAGTAGAGCCTTCTTGCACTTTGTTACTGTGCTGTTACCTGGATGAATCACAGAATCGTTAGACTGGAACAGACCTCTAAGGTCCTCGAGTCCAACCTTTAACCCAGCACTGCTGAGTCCACCACTAAACCAGGTCTCCAAATACCACACCTACATAACTTTAAATACCTCCAGGGATGCTGATTCCACCCCTTCCTTCCTCCACCTGTTCCAGTGACTGACAAACCTTTCTGTGAAGAAATTTTTCCTAATATCCAATCTAAACCTCCCCTGGTGCAATTTAAGGCCATTTCCTCCTGTTCTGTTACTTGTTTCTTGGGTGAAGAGACTGACCCCCCCATCTCTGCAACCTTACAGAGAGCAATAAGGTCTTCCCTGAGCCTCCTTTTCTCCAGGCTGAAGACTCCCAGCTCCCTCAGCTGCACCTCACAAGACTTGTGCTGCAGACCCTTGACCAGCTTTGTTGCCCTTTTTTGGGTACACTCCTTCTTGTCATGACAGGCCCAAAACTAAACACAAAATAATTGTGTGGAAGTGATAAGAACATAACAAGCTTGTCCTTTGAGCTAGGCTTAATGCCTTGGAATTAATGTCTTAGAATGTATACTTTCAATCTGGCTACTTGCAGCATTGGATAAACATCCAGTGTTTCCTGAGTGAAAATGCAAAGTGATTCCAGTTGTAAATGTTCATGGAAGCAGTGGGCTCTGAGTCTTCTGGTAATACATTGGTTTTGAAATGCACGAACATGGGCACTGTGAGAAACTGGTGGGGGAGTCTTTCATTCAGTAGACCCAGCAAGCTTCATCTTGCAACCTGTCAGCAATCTTACCATATAAAGAGTGTTCTGAGAATCAAGATTAGAGTTTCCCAACTTAACCTTAAATAAATTACAGCACTCACAAATACAGTAGTTAATAGAGACCGTGTTTAATCAGGGAAGGTCCTACTGTACTCCAGTACAATATTTAGGTTGATGGTATTTTAAGAGGAAATACTATGAAGGCATTTGGCTTTAGTAACCTTGAGACCAAGGAGGGTGTCTTTGATTGGGCTGTGGCATCAATTAGTGAAATTGAGGATGTTTGATTTGGAGCAGAATTGCTGAATTTTTGTACTGTGAAGTTCAAATAAGATGAAGCCTTGAGTTTTGAGGTTGTTCTTCCCAATGTGGGAAGTGGCTCATTTAGTTTTACCATGTTTGTGCTGCTGGCAGACTGTCAGAGGGGAGAAAAGCTAGAAAGAAATCAGAGTAGCTTAAATCCCATAGTAGAAAGGGAGGAATTAAGAGCACAGGTTAAAGTGCTCTGTAGATATGTAGTGCCAGGTAACACTGAGATCGGTGCACTTCATCAGCGTGTGCTTTGTTGTTGTCACTAACTGGTGGTTTCAGTGTATGTCACTTCATTATTTTTCTCTGTTTAGGTGGTGCAATGATTGGTGTTTTTGCAGGAGGAATGGGAGCACCTAGCATGGGCCCAGTAAGATCTGGAATGAGTAGGTTAACTTGTTTCAATAGAACATAAATGCATAGGCAATGTAATGATGTGGTGTACATGTAATTGTATCAGAGGATTTCCTTGTAGGGTAGTGTCTCACTGTCTATGGAAGAAGTAGAGTTCTGTTGCATGTGACTGCAGGTCTAATAGTTTTCAAAGCTCTTTTGTTGAGGTAAAAGTTCAGAAGAAAACTTGGTAATATAGTCTTTCTCTTATCTTAGTTTTGAAATGGTTTTAACTTCTAGTTTGGAGGGAAAGGCGATTAAAGTAAACTTGTGTTCCAGAAAAGAGAGAGATGGGCACATATATTTGTGTAAAGTTCATGAAACTGAACCTCAGAAATCAGTCATCATTGAAATAAAAAATCAGGCTTGAATTTCAGATTATTACTCAGTTTAACTTTGTGCAAAGCTCCAGTACTAAGATTGTATTGCAGCAAATGTCTGAGTTCCTCAGGCTAGAACAGATGAGAAACTAAAATTTTGCTAGTGCCAATCTTGAAAGGCATAAGGCTTAAAAAGAATGTCCCTCCTGAATGATCTTGATAGTTTTGCTGTACATTAATTTTTAATTACGAATCCAGAAATAATATTTGAATGCCATTGTTTTTAGTTCTTTTTATATAATATATATTAATATATTTCATTGCATGTATCATAGGGAAGTCCATGCTCTTTACAGTGCTTGGCAGTAACTTCTGTTCTCTGCAAAACAATGCCTTCTGTGGAAGATTTTGTCATTAAGTGTGGGTATTGCTGCATTAACTAAAGCTCAATGTAAATGCAGGAAGCCAAATAAACAATAGTGTATTTGGTCAAATTATCTGTATCTTAGCATGGCCACAGTTATTTACTTGATCTTTTTGGTACAGGGTGTAACATTTTTATTAATTAAACAGGACAGCCTTTGAATCTGAATACTTGTGTTCAACATTTTGCTACATTAGGTTGTATGACTAACAGCTTGATGCAGTTTGGTCTTTTATTTTAGAACTGACACTTTGTGTCTTGTAATGGTTTGTCCTAAAATCTTAGCCATGCTACTGGATAAATCACTGTGCATGTATGAAAGTGATGGTTTATATTACAGCAGTTCTAATAAAGTTATTTTTCTCCTAATGCAAGAATTTTATTTTTATACAAAATACTTTTGTGTTTATTACTGAAAAGAGATTTTTATTTTATCCTCCCTTTCTTTCTCTGTGTAGGTGGTGGAATGGGTGGTATGAACAGTATGGCTGGAGGAATGGGGATGGATCGGATGAGCTCCGGATTCGATCGAATGGGACCAGCCATGGGTGGAGGCCTGGACAGGAACATCGACATCGACCGAGGGTTTGTGCCTGGCCCCATGGGAAGTGGCATAAGAGAGAGATTGGGCTCTAAAGGCAACCAGATATTTGTGAGAAATGTAAGCAATTGAATATGTAGAAACCACAAGCTTATTTTGTGTGTATATTTGATTCCATGCTCTTTTTCTCTTTGTAATATTTTGTTATCAATAATGTGTTTTCATTCTAGCTTCCTTTTGACTTGACCTGGCAGAAGCTAAAGGAGAAATTCAGTCAGTGTGGTATGTATATGAATCTTACCCCTGCTCAGCTCCATCAGCTTCATGTTTTATGTGGTGTTTATTAGATGAGGACAGGAAGACAAAACTGTTGCCTTACTCTGAAGGACAGTTTGGTGAGCTTAATCTTTCTTACTTCACCCAGCTTTCTTGAGTTATATAAATAATTTTTAGGCATGGCTGTACAGGTCATGCATTACTTCAAGAAATGGTGCTGCATCAAATCAGAGATAGTAATTTTGCCAAAGTGGCAGATTGGGTTTTTTAGGCATACAGATGATCCTGATTAGCATCTTTGAAGGCTGTAATGTTCCCCTTTATCTTAAGAAATAAGGGGCCTTTTGATATAAGATAAAGGATTGCTACAAATATTCAGTAATTTTTTTAATGTAATTCAGAAAAGTTTGTCTTTTCACAGAAGTAAACAAAAAATAAAGCTTGGGTATAAAAATACATGATGTGTTTTGAAAACACTTTCAGAACAGAAAGCTTTAACTGAATTACAGGATGACTTTTATTTTGGAGAGACAGAAAAGACAAATAATCTAAAACACTGCTGATGTCTAAGACAGTTATACAGCTGTTTGCAGATTTGATATTAATGGAACTCACAGTTCAACTATGAAAAATTATAAGGTGTTGATGTTATTTTTGTAGCTGGAGGATATAGTGCAACAAGTTCTTTCTTTTTTTAAGTCTTAAATGCCTGGCAACTTTCAGATTTTTCAGAATTTGGGTTTTTTAATCATTTCTTTTTCAGCTAACAGATGTAGTAATTATGTTCAGTTGCTTTTAAGAATTACAAGCAACAGATTGTATTCGTGTCAGTGTCATAAGGAAATACAAAGACTGTCTCCCCGTGTTCAGTTTCTTTCAGTGAAAGGCCAGTCTTATATGATACTTAAAAATAAAGTCATATATTTTAGGGACAAGTTTTTTGTTCCTAGTGGCATTCTGGGGCTCAGGAGGGATGTGCTATAACACACCATAAGCAGAAACTCATTAGCTCCAGGGAACTGAACATTCTTAGAGGTATCAAGACATCTTCATAAAAATAATGCCTCGTGAGTTGGGTGTCCAACCTCAAGAAGACTTGGCGAGAATTGAATAGTGCATGTTACTTATCCACCACTCCTAACCCGGTAACTGCATCATTTTAAAGACATTCATTTTGCTCTGCAGCTTCTTAACAAAACTGTTTGATTGTTGCTATTGCTTGATATGTTTTTGTGATGAACACAGTGGACTGGACTAATCTGCAGTTCAGTTAATGCCTGTCAATACTCACCCTTCTGTCAGTGTCTGTAAATGAAACACAGACCTTTCTCTGAGTCTTACAGGGCACTTTGTTTCAAACTTGAGGTCAAATACAGGCATAGTTATACTTCTTCTTAATGCTGGTGTGAAGATTTGAAATAGTGGATCATAATTTGGATTCTTCACTGCTGTTTTGTCCCATGTCCCCTTGCCTGAATGAGTGAATGTACCATCAGTTTGGAAGTGCCAGTTTCATATGTTCCCCTAGATTATACTTAGAAATGTTTTTTTATCACTTCTGAGTTCTCTAAGTTGTTAGTGCACTGAGGACTTGAAATAACTGCTGTTTAACTTATTTATTCAGGTCATGTAATGTTTGCAGAAATAAAAATGGAGAATGGAAAATCAAAGGGCTGTGGAACAGTCAGATTTGACTCACCAGAATCTGCTGAAAAGGCCTGTAGGATAATGAACGGCATAAAAATCAGTGGCAGAGAAATTGATGTCCGCTTGGATCGCAATGCATAATTTAAAATTCTGTGTTCAGGAACATTCCTATGTCTTGTTTAGCTTCTCTATCTTAGCAAGTCATTTTTAGTAACATTGTATGCTTACAAAAGATGTAAAAAAGGAACTTTTAAATCCCACCAGCCTTTAACAGTATAGTGTTTAATATACTGTGATACTTGTTAACTGAATCTTACTATGTTTGGTTTTTAAAGACAATTTGCCTGATTTTTGTTGTTTTTTTAGAGGCACTGAGCACCTGCAGGTCCCTGTTGACCGTGGAAGGTTTGGATGCTCAGTGCCTTTGGAAAATTAGGCCAAGTGTCTCTAGTCATTCAGTTTAAATGAATGGTTATACTGTTTTTAATAAAATAAGCCATTTTCTCTGTTAATCTCAAGACTGCATAGTGGGATTTATTTAGTGTTTTCTGGTTTTTATTTTTGCCCTTCAGTGTGTATCAACATTGTAATGTAAAAAATAGATGTCTTTTTATTTTTCAGGATTTTGGTTTTATATGTGTGTTGTAGTCATACTGTAATTCCTGACTCTAAAAGAAAGGGCTCCAGTTAAGCTGTGATGTTTTTGTTCTTAATATTACTTTGATGACATGACTTAGTTCTGTATATAAGACTTAGAGCCCAGTGGGAGTTTGGAGTTGGTTTTTTTATTTTATTTTATTTTGACTAAATGAAGAAACTGATCTTTTCCTCCTGCTTTAATTTTTTTCATCAGTATAATCACTGATTAAAACTAGTTACCACAGACCCTTGTAGGATTGTTTCCTATGATGCCAAGTTCGTATAAAATTGCTAGTACAGTAAATACTAAGTACAGTACAAGACAAATGGTTCCCAGTTTTTTATCTATTTTCCAGCCATTTAGGTGAACTGCCAGAAAAATAAAAACAACAGAACAGATAAGAGAAATGGCTGTGTATGTCAGACCACTGCTGTTCACTTCTATGGGTCCTGATGTATTTATGAAGGCAGTTTTTATAAACCAGGGTATTCCCAAACAGAGCATATCAAATACGTTGGATCCTACAATGTTAGACATAGCCATATCTCCATTTCCTGTAAAAGAAGAAAGGCAAATAAGTTTGCTTAATTGTATTGGATGAAATTACCAAACTGTTTTGGAGGAACAGACTGTCAGCCCTCAGTTTCTCACAGAGCACTCTTTTCAGATTTTGCATCGAAGGAACTGTAGTCATGATTCTACAGAACACGGTTTTGGGTACCACAACCATAAAAATATCTCCCTAAATCACCAGCATCTGCACAGTTGCACTTAAAATAAGCTAGACAGGCTAAGGTCCAGTTAAGTTTAAAATACCAAGACCTACAGTTGTGTTCTGCAGTAAAACTGTAATACTTGATCAACAACAAATAGATCAATCTAGAATACTTCTCTGAGATACTCTGAGAAGTTTTGAAATGTCTGAGCCACAGCTTTTTCAGGTAAGCTATTTATTTATTTTTAGTAAACTTAAGCTCTAGAATCTGGAGCACAAATTTTGAAGTTACTCCTTGAATTCCTGGAAGTGTTGACTAGAATTCTTTTTTTTTCTTCATACCTCTTAAACACATCCATTGGCATGAGGCGGAATACTAAAATCTTTACCTTTTCGAGCGACCAGCACGCTTGCAACTGTATCTGGTACACTTGTTCCTGCTGCTAGTAATGTGAGACCCATTACTGACTCTGGAATTCCCAGTGTTTCACCTGCAGTTGATAAATAACGGTGGAAAATGCAAGTATGTTTTTAGTTAGGTTTCATCCAAAGACAGTGCTTTGCACTATGTTTGCTAAAGAAAGAATTAGTAATCATATGGTAATTTCAAATGGAATGTGTCAGCTAACTTGACTACATATGAAATGACTAAATCACAAAGCAGTTCAAAACAAGAGGAACAACAAAGAAATACCATCCTGTCCTTGTTCTTTGATCAAATAAAAAAGGAACTGTAGTATAGTAACCATCTTAAGTTTCTCAAAGACCTGTGTGGAATGTCTCCAGTGGTCAAGAAAATAGCAGTTATGAATTTTTTCTTGCAGATAAAGTAGATGTTTAAATATCTAACAACTACTTTTTTTTCTTTCTTTTTGCTTTCAACTTTAGAAAATATAGTCTCTCTTACAGTTTTGGGCGTCTCCTCGTTAGCGTTCGAAAGACTTATGAAGCAATAACTCTTATAATCACCCTCTCTAAAGGGGAAGGGGAAAAGCACATGAATTTTCTTGGGTAGGAGGGTCATTAAGATATTAGGAGAAAACTGTCTCAACTACATGTTTACCATTTTGCTCCAATTAGAAAGTACTTGGATTTGGAAGAATCAAAATGCAGAATTTTTATATGACTTGTAAGTACAAGTAACCCTTTGGAAGTGTGAGTTCCGTTAGGTAAATACTTGTTTAAATGAAGAAAAGTTTTAAACTGTTACTAAAAGGGCAGCTTATTTTTCCCCCACTGTCTATTTTTCTTAGCCCCACATGTCCTGTGACTCTGTTAATTTTTCAGTTAAAATACAGGGATTCATCAAAACCATTTTAGCAGTTGTACCATTCACAATGGTCAGTATGCTGAAGTGTTTGACACCTCTGTTCAAGCTATTAAGTAATTAGTTTTTCTTAAACTTTTTTGTTCACTAAAAACTATCTTAATATTTTTTATTGTTGAAATCTGAATTCTTACTTGCAGTATTTCAACTCTAATAAGAGCAATTTTAATAAAATAAGAGGCAGTGCTCTAAGCTAGGTCAGCAATGCTTGTTTATTACTTACCATCTTAGTCTAGAGCAGCCCAGTAAATTTATGTTTGAAACTGTTTGTTGGTTCAGAGGGACTAACATGATCCTGTTGCAGAATTTGTACTCTCTTTATCCTTCCATCGCTCCTAACAGATTTGTAGGATGAGCGACCAACAAAATCAACTTTTATAAACCATCCAGGCTGGAAAATAATGGGTCAAACCAAGGTGAAGTATGAATGAGCCAGCCTTATGTACCCAACAGTAGTTTCTAGCCCTCTGAAGGTTATAAGACAGAATATAAACTCAGGAGAATTTAATTTTTCTTTTTATTAGATAGATTTATCTTCTATTTAATGTGTAGGGTTGTGTTTTTTTTTTTTCTGGCAACTGACCATAAAGATAGAATAGTATTATTTTTCTAGCCTTTAGTTAATTTTGTGTATCAGTGGCAATGTCTTGCTATAAGTAGTCAGATTTTCTTTGCTAGCAACAGAAAGGTGTACTGAGGTAGGTTTGTTCTTGACCATCTAAGTTTAGTCCCCAGCTGTGACACCTTTGTGACAATTCTGATAGGCTGATTATGCAACGATAGAATCTTTGAGTCAACCTTCATGAAAGAATCTGGACTTGAATATAATGTGTGTGTAACTTTTAGTGTTTTAACATGTAAGTAGAACATATTTTACCTAGAAATAGTGGGCCAAAGACCCCAGTACTGCCTGTGATGACTGTTGAAGGTGAACTAATACACTACTGAATCTCCACTGTACCTGCTTTCATATGAATTAATGCTTTGTCTTGTAGAACAGCAATAACTTTGACTTGAATCCTGTTTCAAAGGCTTCTAGCATCCAGACAGTGAACAGTGAACCCTTGCTCTTTAGATACAACTGGAAAATTATTTGACCAAGGGGTGAACGTGGTGATTGTTGTATCCAGCCATTTACTAGTTATTTCTCAAAGGTTTACCAAACATGTAGGTCTGTTTCTGCACTGAACAAGGAGTTATTCATATCTGAGCTAGCACAATGCTTGAGTAGGATTAGTGAACTATAAGGTGGAAATGGCAAGCTTTGTAAAATTTCCTTCTGGTTTAGAGTTTTGTTTTCTGCTTGTTCTTAAAATTAAAAACTTGATTTCTTTAAAGCTGACTGGAGAAATAGTGAAATGAGGAGACCTTTAATACCTTAAGGTACCTTAAAACATTTAGTAGAATGTTTTTACACACAAGTTCATACCCCTTCCCTCACTTAAACACAATCCTTTCACTGCTTCAGTTTTTGATGATGCAGATTTGTAAGAGATCTACATACACACACACATCAAGAATGGTTAATAAACACATGATGCTATAGTTGAAATAATATAGTACAAAAATTTGGGACGTTTTTTGGCAGTTAATTTAATGCCAAGTCTCTTACTATAGCACTCATGAAAAATACAGGTGCAGAAATAACAGATCTTTTCCAAAAACCTTAACCTCTAATTCCAGTCTTTGTGGATTTTGTGTTTGTCAGCCTTCAGCATGACAAGTTTATTGCTGTGTATCTAATTGTTTCCCTTAATGAGCAGTTTAATGAAACTCTTTTTAAATATAGGCTGGTTTTTTGTAGCTACAGAAACAAATCCTCCTTCCTGTGATGGTAAGTAGTGTGAAGCAGCTAAACTCAAAAGTGTTCCATCATTAGATGGAAGAGGGTGGCCAACTAAGCAGTCAAACATAAGTTTCTGTTGGGTTTTCCTTGTTGTGTTTTTTTACAGTGAAGTCTGAGTTGCTAAACTGACGGTTGTGGAAAGGGAAACTTCACAGGGAGAAAATGTTTTTTCAGTGATTCTTGGTTGGTTGATGCTGTATAGCAGGAGCACTTTGGGTACCTACCTGCTATTGTTATCATCCATACGAGAACATAAGTTATTGCAGAAATCCATGCTGCTGAAATTAAAAATGTCACCATGAACCAGTTCCTCCAAAACTGTCTTCTGCAATCTGGTATAGTCAAATAGAGTAGTGTGATAATGGGAAGCGATAACACCCACAAAATTCTCTTCATATCTGCTTCAGGCATGGTGAAGACATTTGGATGATCTGGTGAAGAAAAAGTAACTATTTTAAATTGTAGCATTAATTAAATTTGAATCCATAGCATACAGTATATTACTGTCCTTTACTTGTGAGAATACTGAAAAAAGGTAAAAAATACCTCCTCAAGTTCCAGCTGTAGTATTGCCCAGTACCTGCATCACTCTGGACAAAATTTTGAAATCAAGTTACTCATGGGGAGATTCTGCTTGTACACAAGAAAAGCATTTTTCACAATGAGAATAATCAGCTACTAAAATGATCTCCTCAGGAAGTGATGGATTCCTAGTGCTAAACACTTCTGAGATTCAGCTGAACAGGTGCTGGGCCATATTCTCTAGACCGTGCTTTTGCCAGGAAAGGTTGGACCAGGTGATCCCTGGGGTCCCTTTCCAACCTGGTACTCTATGATTAAAATGTTCTTTATTACCACATCACCAAGGTGGATGAAAAATGAACTTCTCTATAAAGGTTTACCCATAACATTTCCCAAAAAAACTACTGTTTTTTTGCCTAAGAAGAAACATGGCCTGTGGCCACATCACAGCTATTCCTTCTGATATGATGCATCTCTTGGGCTATGAATGTGTCATTGTCATAAGAAAATAGCATCTATTAGTACAGTACCAGTGTGGCTGTCAGGTGGTAGTGCATTTTACAAGCAGCATTGCTGGGAAGTTTCAAATATACACAGCAAAGACGGTTAGAAGTTCTAATATGACAAAAATGAGCAACTATGCTTACATTCTCTAGCAATTAACTTCATATAAATACCACCGGTCTGATTTTGCTTAATTTTATATTCCAGGTTAGAATATTATTTACTTAAATACTATGCTGGAGTTCTTCTGTGAACAAAATCTTAAAACTATCTCAGAATCTGCTCTTGATTAGAACTGATGCAGACAGGCATGCAGAGTGCTAGAGACAGCTGTAATAGTACTTGTACCTCCAGAGATTTCATCAAGCCCATGTAAGCTTGTAGAAAGGTGAGAGTAGTCCAGCTCATCCTGAAAAATTCCACTGTCTGTCCTTGACTGCTGACGGATTAGAGGTCCACTCTCTTCCCTCCATCCAACCAGTGGCTGCTGCTCTGCATTCTCTTCCATAGCTTTTGTAAAACATGTACAGCAGGGACTGAACTTTTTCATGAGGTATTGGTTGATTTTAATGTCAAAACACAGTATCAGAATATAACACCCATATATCAATAATAAGGATGCACTTTCATACCTAGAATGAAAAACAGGTTTTATGTAACATGTAGTATAAAAGAACCCAGTGGCTGGGATAAGTAGAGAGAGAAAATTTGCATGAGTAGCAAAAGGAAAACACACAAAAGCATCTATTTGCAGTTGTATGGCTGATGTCATGGAAGTTTGTGAGTGTCCCCCTGTCTTTCAGCAGTTTGATTAATTCCCCTCCCCTGCAGAATCTTGTTTGTGTATTGTATAGCTGCATGTTTCCCAGGGAATCTTACTGACTGAACATCTTCCTGATGTTTGCAAAACTGAGTCTTCATGTGATGGTTAAATTAGAAACTTCAAGAGACTTAGTGCTGGACCTGACTGTCTTTTTGAGGTAACAAGAGTTTTGGTGTTGATGGAAGAGTTGCAACATCAGAAACTCATGATCTTCTGGCAGACAAATGTTTTTGTGAACTATTCTGCTGTGAAAGGAAAGGCTCAAAAGGAGTAAATGATGAACACTAATTGCTATGCTAGAACAGTTGTGACAGAAATTGTGAAGTCTGTACAGACAAACCTATGCAGATCAAACTTTATAAATATGCAGAGTTTGAATGTTTAGGTAATAATCTTTACAAGCATTGTGACTTTCTGTTTTTTAAAGCCAACAGGATGTTTATTTCTGTTAGTGAACGGCAGTTCAGGCTACTTGAAGTTTGGGGGTTTTTGTTTGTTTTTCAAAACACTGTCTCGCTAATCTCCAGTCAACATGAATTCAACACAGCTTGTGCTCTTACCAGTAAATTCTGTTGTCAGAGATCATCGCAAGGACTGCTGCTGCACTGATTGTATAGACCAGACAGTCTCTAAACAGCGGCCAACAGGATAGCCTGGAAACCTGCAGATCAGAGTCATTTACTTTTCTTAAACCTCTCTGTAATACTTTCACTAAGTGCTGTAAATGCTGCATCAATATGTTGTTTCTATATTATGTAAAAATTTAAGATTCTTAGGAATGACTTAAGTATGATATTTAACAAGTTAGTGTTTTTAAAAACTTTCATAGCAAGTTATCTTAAAACTGATTACATGCTGGTTTTGCTACTAAATAATAAACTTGGCAGTTGTCATAGTAAGTCTCCCTTGGCTTTTCTTGGAAAATGAGAATAGATAACTATTAGGCTCTTGGGAGCAGAACTATCAAAGTTGATACATACCACAGTGGAAAACAGTCCACAAGCTGCAGAAATACCAAGAAGATTATAGATTGCTGATCCAAGGATGGTGCTGACGCCAATATCTCCCTTTGTCACAAAAGCTCCTATAAGGAAAATGACTTTCTGGTATGTTTCAGTTCAACACACAAGGAAAAGAATTCTAGGTTCTAAGGAGTCAAAACATACCTAGAAAAGCAGTGACAAGCTCTGGAGCAGAGCTTCCAGCAGCCATAAAGGTTGCTCCAGCAACATCCTGAGAGAGGCCAAGGCCTGGGTATAGAGCAAATTGATACTTCAGTAGTCTGTACCCTTTACTTGTATTAGTATTTAATGTTAGATGCTACTACAGTTTAATAGAATGAACTTTCATTACTTTTGTACAGTCAATGCATTTATTTGAGATTCATGAAATAATATCTTGAAAACTAACCTCATTTATTGGGCTAGTTTATTTCTAACTTTGTTACTGAAATTAGTTTAAATACAAGAAAAGAGGTACTGATAATGAATTTCTGAGATCATGTGCATATTTCTTGTAAAATAGGCATTTGTAAGCAGGCTTCAACTGTGTTTCATATGGGTAGTAATTGTGGGGAAATTCCGTGAACTGGTGTGATATTGTTACATGATCCATATCAAGTCTATCTGTCTTCCAGGGAAATCTATACTACTGTGTCTTCACATACCAGAAGCACTAGTTACATGCAAATTTGTGCTGCACTCTTAAAAACAAATTTTCACTTCGTATGGACAGTATAAAAGCCTGTGTCTTGCTTGAAAGAAATGAGATTTTTGTCCTGGTAAGTTGACTGTTCCTGAAATGTAACTCACTCTGGGGATCAAGTCTTCTGCACAAAGAAGAGGGATGTTTGGCCAACCATGCAGGAAGTCTGACAAATGCTTAATTATCATCAATTAAAAAAAAAATCAGCTCTACAGCAGTGTTTAAACTTACATTTTCTGTAAGTGTTCTGGTTTGGAGAATGTTTTCTGGTGTTCAGGGATGAGTTTCCCTAAGGAATGTTTTTAATTCTTGGCAGTGAAAAGCTGAACTCCCAGCCAAGACCATCTCTTTAATTCAGTGGTCTGCTTAAGCCAGGGGAATTGGTACAGGTTGATTAGATGTCAGAGAACCATTGTAACCACAGTATTCCTTTGCTTCCTGTGTCATACTTTTAATATGTAAACAGTAGCTCATCCTGCTACTTGTTCACTACTTTCATAGAAAGAAACTCTAGACAGGTGCTAAATTCCTATGTTCTAATACAGGGAGAGGTTTGGTTTCTTGGTTTGGTTCCACACACCAGCCTTCCCCCCCCTTTTTTTATTTCTTTTCCTAGTAACCTGGACATGCCACTGTGCACCCCAGAGTTACATTGTCAGTTTAGTTAATACTGAGGAAGTGTTAAGATTTTCCTCCAGTCAGAAAGAAAGCAAATGCTAAATGAATACCTGTGCAGTTTAATCGGAGAAGGTTTTTTCAAGCTAATATTGATCCTGTGTATCAAATTAAATACTGTATTGATATGTCTGCAGAAAGACTGAAGCTTGTTTGGTTTTGTTTCAGAGCACTCAAACTTTGAAGTTTTTTAAAAGAGAATGTTTTTAAGAGAATGTTTAAAGAGAACTGAGCACCAAGCTGCTCAGTTTTACAGGGAAAAGATCAGGATGTCACTTACATTCACTGATGATCTCAAGGGAGGGTAGGAAGTAATCATCGCACACAATGGACACGGCCAAAAACATGTACAGGATAATTATGAAGTAGATAACGATCCCTCCATCCTTCCTCTCCTGCGGCGTGAAAAATCCTTCAGGAAACTCCGATGAAGACGAGAGGACACAGCGTGTCCCGTTTTCTGAAAATTTGAGCACAGAAGTGTTACACATCCCGACACCTTTCAATTCCGCGGGTCGGAGCTCCGGTGGGTTTCGCTGTTTGAGAAGGGCAGCGATGCCGCCCGGCCCCCGAGAGCCCGCCCCTCCGCCCGTACCCGCGCTCCCGCCGGGCGCTGGGCCCGCGCTCCCCAGCCGCGAGCGCCCACACCAGCAGCAAGCGCCGCGCCCGCCGCGCGCCCGCCGCATCGCCGGCCCCGCGCGAGCGCCGCTCTCGAGCCCCGCGGCGGCGGGCCCCGCTGGCGCGAGCGTCACGCGGGGCCGCGCCCCCCGCCCCCCCCTGCCCTCACGTCCCCCCCGCCCGGGGTCCCGCCGCCCTCTCACGCCGTGCCTCTAGGCTCCCCACGGCCCTCAGCGCGGCCGTGCTTCAGCTCTCTCTGAGGCCCATCTCAGGTCCCACCGCCCCTCTCGGCGGCGCTGCCTCCTTGAGGTCCCCACCGCCCATCTCAGGGTCCACCGCCCCTCTCGGCGGCGTGCCTCCTTAGGTCCACCGCCCATCAGCCCACGCCTCTCAGCGCCGTGCCTCCTTTGCCCACCGCCCCATCTCAGGTCCCACGCCCCTCTCGGCGGCCGTGCCTCCTTGAGGTCCCACGCCCACCAGGTCCTCAGCGTCCCGCCGCCCCTCGCAGGTCCCGCTGCCTCTGCAGGGTCGCGCCCCTCTCAGGTCTCTTGGCCCCCTCTCTCAGGGGTCCCTCCATCCCCCCCCCCAGGGGTCCTGCCACCCCTCGCAGGGTCCCACCCCTCCCTGCCGGCCGCAGGAGGGGGCCGGGGCTCTGCGGCAGCGCCTCCCGAGCCGGGGCTGCGCCTGACGGGCCCGCAGGGAGCCGCGCTCCTCGCCCTGTCCTGCATTGCCTTTGGGGGACAGCGGAGGTTTTGGCCGTGGCGAGTGAGGTCTTGGTGCAAGGTGCTGACCGCGACACCCAG